TGATAGATTATTCCTGTAATAGATCAGAATTTATAAATATTCATATTAAATTATCATACTCATCCACTACATTGCATTGATATAAATACAGAAATGATGTAAATAGGTTATTAAAAAAAGAGCAAGGCATCTGAAGTTGATCTAAAAATAAAAATGTCCAAAGTATGACAATACTATGTCATGTCATATTAACATAGAACAAGGTAAGAACAAGAGAAGAGGATCTTTCTAGTGTATCTCGTATAGAATTGTACAAATGCACACCTGTGGACTCAGGAGCAGCATAAATTTATTTCCTTATGTAATAGTACAACTAAACTCAATAGCAAGTAAGCATTCTTCTATTCTTTATGTTGGAAAACAATGCACACAGAAGGACATACATAATTGAAACAGGGGGTTGATGGGATTGGATCACTTGGCTCCAGTCCATTTTTTTTAAATTTTTTTTTTCTCACAGATTCATTGCGTGCTCTAATGTTGCACATCCTTTCCACATATCTGATTTCTGTGAAATGGATATAACGTCCATCTGACTACAGCCTTTAGAGGGTTGGATAATGTTTATAGTGGACCTTTTGATCCTTGAATTTAAAAGACTAGACTAATATAAAAATACACACATGTGCATATAGCTTCATTCTCTATAAAGCTTGTTATAAACATTATTAGATATTAAGTATTATTGTTGTATTGTATCTGGTTTTGCTGCTACTAATCCATATTGTTGTTAGAGGCTTAAGAAATTTGCTAGTGGTCGATAACAGCTGAATTAACAAGTATGATATCGTTTAGTATTACAAGAAAAAGTGCACTGTTGTGGTATACTGTTGCACTTGTAAAGTTTCTCCTGAAATCAGGGAGGATTTCAATAGAATTATCAAAAATACCGTGCATCCTTTGTGAGAGTTTGCCATACTTCTCTGCTTGTAGTTAATGAAAATGAGCAAAAACTATGACAGCACACCACAGACAAGCTGTCCGTTGGCTGGAGCCGTTGTATCTGGAGCTCAGCAGCCCGTCTGTCCCTCAAATCTTGTTTTATGGTCATCGCCCCAAATCCAATTGCTATTTATGACAAGTACAGTGAGGGTGCCATAAAACCCCACTGGTGCTGTTATGTGGGGCTGAGCAGGAGGAGACCAACATCTCTAAGCCGCCCCACTTAAGGGGTCTTGCCTGCGTCAGGTTTAAGGGAACAGTGTAGGTAAAATGTAAATGCTAGCTGCCTTTCTGAAACTGGACAAGTCTGCAATATATCTGCTTACATGCTATATTTTGAAATTGCAGACAGAAATATTTATTTGTAACCACAACCATTCCCCTGTTTTCATTCAAAATGCAAACTCATGGAATTAAATTATTTCACTGATTTTTACCGCCTGATCTGAGACACAGAACCGAGGTATTGATATGCTAAAAAATCCTTGCTAATGTAGGTCAGTGCATCTGTTGATATGCTGTAACATGTTTGATTGCCATTATATGCTGCAAAAATTAGGAGCTGTGATTGTCCCATCTTTAAAGTGACAGATGATGATCTGTCAGACATGTGGAGGATGTGGGTGTGCACACAGATATGGATGCATGTATATGCTTATGAATATAAAAATATATAAAATGATGTGAAATAAAATATGAAGCAGGTTAAGCTTGGAATGACCACAAGCACAATGAAATCACAAGTGAGTTATGAGTATCAATAAAACTTTTATGCAACACCATATTATCATGTCTTCTGCATCTGCTGTGTCTTCAATAGAAAATCTACTTTAGAAATGTTGTGTACACCATTTTAAAATTATATGGTAGTATTTATTGTACATTTTCATCTGTAAAAGCCAGACTCCCTTTATATCATTCCATCTGGAAAGGCCCTAAAAGGAAAAATAATATATATTTTAGAAACCTACTATCTAAAATAGCATTAGTTTTCTAGCCATTGAATATCCTGTTTATATGGTATTGCATCTCAGAATTATCAGGAGCTAGCAGCTGGAAACCTCTTAGTCTTCTTTAGTGGACTCTGTGTGTGGAAATTCTTTGAGAAGTATGTTCTTAAGGGAACACATGAAGTTTTGCCATTGTATAACATCATCCTTTGATATCATACAGTGATGCACTCTGATCGAATTATCTGAGCTCTTTCCCCTTCTCCACAGAAGGCAAAGAGGGAGCAATATTTATATCTCTTAGGTATATTTCCCACTGTTACTTTCTTGTTGGTACTGTGGATAGCTTATGTAGATTTGCTTGTCTGTTGGGGGACCTTCTCTATCATCATGTAAGAGCTCTTATAGGTGCGATGCTTGCTTTCTTGGTGCTTTCTGAGTGTTTTTGAAATCCACTTAGTAAACATGGGAATAGTTTCCCACACTTTTATTTTTCTCATTAGGAGAGCCTGTGGGTATTTTTAAGTTTTTGTGGCCTGATACTCTAGCAAGTTCATTTATGTTACCAAGATCCACCTCTAATCCTGATGTGACATGACAGGACCCAAGATGAGTTTTGCTTCTGTGTCAGCACCACTGCTTTCTGTTGTGAGCTTCACACCCTTCTTCGCTAGCATCCTCTTGGGATTACCAGTGCCAGCACTTTGCTCTGTTTAAAGCATCTGAAGATGAAGCTGATGTTGCCTATCAGAATCACAGGTGCCAGAGAGGATTAACAGTGATGTTTAGGTCGTATCTAATGAATTCCTGCATCCTGCTGAGACAATCACTGCTCCCAAATTAAGGACCCATTGTATCAGAATAACTACAGTGTCCAACGCTACAAGTGTATTTCACTAGTGGAATTATGTAGAGTAGAAATTAGGACTTGCGTGCACATTTTGACAGACACTGTTTCTAAATTTAGCTTAATGCACTGATGCCAAGAGGAGAGTGCTACAAGTTACAAACTCCTTGACTTGAGTCACTTGGTGAAGCTTCCACAAATGACAGTATACCAAATGGCTGGGAGGAAAAATGTGTTATTGATAATAGTGTTTCTGAGGAGTTTCTCTTGTATGTCTGTTATAGTAGCTCCCCATCCCTTGTACTTTGGGATTTTTTTATTGTAAAAGCTTGAATACACATAGGTGGCTTTCAAAGGATGCTGTTTACTTACACAGGTAGCCTTACCTTTCAGCTTAACTGACTTCCACTGCACACTATTAGTGGTACAGCAATGCATAATATAAGTTTACTTTGCAATATATTATTCAGTTTCAGCAATCTTCTGAACTCTATACAGGACTTGTAAATTGTGGATTTAGTGGTGTTGCTAAGGAATATTCTATCACCATTCAATTTCTAACTTCTTTCAATTTCAAAAGTTGCTGAGATCTGTAAAGTTTCTGATTTGTTTTACTAGGGATCTCCAAAAGGCCCTCTTCTTACATAGAGGTGTAATTAAGTGCTTTGGAAAGAAGGTGTGAACCTCTTGGTGCAGACTTTCAGAATAGATGTAGAATCTCAGCTCTTCTGGATTCCTGAAACTTGATTTGGGGACTTGATGTCCTCAGGCTTGGCTTCTGGAGAAAAAGAAGTATGATGGCAAGTAGTAAACGCCATCCCTTGTGCCATGAAAATGAGATTTCACTTGCAAACAATTGACAGAGACACTTGCCTGCCTCTCCCTTATGTTGCTGTTGTAGGTATTTAGCTTGTATAGGGTATCTTAATCTTATTTCACTGAAATTAATTGGACAGTTCACACCTCACAGAGCTGTAGCTGCCAGGTTTCTATGTAAACATAAAACATTTCTATCAGCTATATTTAATACATCTTTTGAGGGATTTTACAAAAATTGAAATTGGACAGAGGTGCATCTGCAACGAGCATTGTGAAATCTTATTTTTCAGGTACTTTTCACCTAGAATATAACTTATAAATCTAGCTGCTAATAGTCTATATAGAGTTCATAAAGACAAGTATGTACTTTAGTGTGGCATTCAGTAGGATGGTGTATCTTTACCTGTGGGTAAGGATGTCCCATTTCCTCCCGTATCTTCACCTCACCATCTCTATTTCTTAGCCAGGCTGTCTTTTTAAATATAGTTGCTATTAGTATAGAATTGTGTAGGGAATATAACTTGTTAAGCATTCAGGGAAAGATCAGGGGAAGACCCTAGTGGTTACCCACTGTCATCACAATGTGCATTCAGCAGTTTTACACCAATTAAACAAATAGCCCAGGAGTAAAATAGGAGTTACCTTCAGGTGTTGCATGTGGGTGGTAGCAAGTGATACATTGATGCAACGGGACTACATGTCTTTGGATTTCTACTTGCTTCGGTGTAAAGCACAAGGTCCTTTCTGACCAAAAAGTTGTCAGTCTGACATATATGTGGTAGTGAATTACAATCAGAAATGTGAACCAAGTAACTGTGTAACTGCTTGCTCATCCCTCCAACAAAGGTTGCTGTTCCCACGGCAAGGACAGCTGAACAACTCATGAAGAGCAGCTTCATGAAATCCAGGAAGGTTTACATTATTGTGCTAGACTTAAACTTCTGTGGCTCAGAAGCTACTGTACAACCTGTTTGGTCATCTTGGCTGCACTGCAACCCTTGTCAGAGGTGGCACACACTTTGGTCATCTGCTTTTAACCTCCTTTTTCCAAGAGTTAGAATTTGGCACAAATTTAGACAAAATTGGGTTACAATGGGTCAGGAGAAGCAATAGCATCTATGCAGATAAACCCCACATGTACACAGCATTCTTGGGAATCTTTCTTGCGACTGGCAGCAGAAGAAGGAAGGGCAGGCTAAGAAGAAAGTGGCTGAAGTGAGTTGGGAGTAGTTACTTAATATGTTGGCTACCACTGAAACTCAAATATTATCATTAGTTTTAATCATTCAAAGACTGGAGTACCATTAAATATATCCTGATAGACTCGAGCATTTTGAAAAAGTGGTAATTTGTATAGAAGACCAGCAGTGAAAAAGCAAATTGATTAAATGGGACAGAACACTAATATTGATGAATGTCCTATTTTGTTTATTTTCTTTCAGTTTACAAGCTTTGAGGAAGGAAAAGTCCCGAGATGCTGCTCGGTCTCGCCGGGGAAAGGAGAATTTTGAATTCTATGAGTTGGCAAAGTTGTTGCCGCTGCCTGCAGCCATTACCAGCCAGCTTGACAAGGCATCCATCATCCGACTTACAATTAGCTATCTGAAAATGAGGGACTTTGCTAATCAAGGTGATCCTCCATGGAACTTGAGAATGGAAGGACCTCCACCTAATACATCAGTAAAAGGTATGGAGTAAATATGTTGTATAGTATCGAATATGGCAGCCTTTAGTAACCTCTAAATTGAAATTTTTACCATCATCCTTTCTTCTTTCCCTGCATATCAAATCCTTTAAAGGGATACAAATGTGGAAATCTGAGGTCTGCATGAGAAAGACACCATGTGAAGGTGAAATAAACCTCTTATTTTATTATTTTTTTTTTTTAATTTAACAACAAACCTATTGATGTAACTATTACAGCTGTAAGTCTTCTGGGTGACGTAGACTAAATTGTTTGAAGTTATTTAGCAATGATTGTGTTGCTTTGTTTTAGTATTTTATATAAGGATGCATTTGAGAGGAGCATGGCATTATTCCTTGCTTTGAGGACTCGGTCTCTTAATTCTCTGGCTAAACCTTAAAGGCAGAATCATGTATTTCTGAAGTTCGAGAGCATCACATCCGAATTTTTAAATCTTCACGTTATAGGCTAGGATTTTATTTATCATCTTGTAAAGTGTATAGAAATTATTTTGACTTCTGAGCCAGTAGGCATCTATCAACATTTCAGCTGAAATTTTAAACACCCTCTTTTCATGCTCAAATAAACAGTTGGGCAGCAAAATCAATGTTTTAGACATGAGTTGCCACAAAAGTCAGGTAATAGAGGAATCAGACACTTATTTTAGAGCTGTGTGCGTGTTGGTCCTCAATAGTGTTTCCAATGACTTACGTAAGCTGGACTTTTTTTTTTTTATTTTTTTGTTTTTACTCACGCTACTTATGTAGATGAGTGTGGTCTTGCTGTCTGATAAGTATTTTAAATTAGGGAGCAAGTTACATTAACAGAACTCAAAGTTACCAAAACCTGGGAATTGTGGTTGTCCTGGCTTTGACAGCACAGAAGACTACCCTGTTTTATTTTAGCTACTGATCTCATATTTTGGAGGAAACTTATTTTGGAAAGAGGCATATGAGATTTGAGCACTTCAGGGTTTTTTTCCACACATTATGAAGCTTGAACTCTTCATCTGCACTAAACTAGATAGACTCTATATACCATGAGGCAAAAGAAAAAGCCACCTTTAAGGGTGGAAGGAGGAGAAGGAAATAGAATCTTATTTATCAGCCCACAACTGCCCATGAAGTGTTACTGATATTGATGGTGCAAAGGGCTTTTACCTGCTCTTGCATTTAAAGGAAGCAATACTAGTTAAGGAAAGTTATAATTTTCAACGGACAGAGATAGACATGGAGGGCAAAAAACAAAGGACTTTCAGGCTGATGATTTAGTAGCTGGACATATTTGTGTCATTGCATATATTTCATTTATATTATCTGCCACATCATATATAATTTTCATGGAGAAAAAAAAAGGTGGTAATTACATCATCCAGAGCATAAGTGTAACATGGTTCATCAGGCTTCTGATATAATATGCAAATGTTCCCCATTTTTTCCAAGATGAGAGTTTATTCTTAGGCAATTAAATGGTGTTTCAAGGCGGATGTAAAGTGGGACTCTGCTGTACGATCTATGATGTGTCTGATAAAATAAATAATTCCTCCCAAAGTTCCTGTAGCTAACAGACATACAGTGCTGTCCCATATTACGGAAAGTCTGATCTCTGCAGATCTCTATGTATGTTTTCAGAGTATCTGGGATCTGTTTTTCATTATCCTCTTGTGGAGTATATACTTGAATATTGTAGCTTCCTTTTTGTGCAAAGATTCTAATGAAGAAAAGAATTTTAAGGGTGAACAAAACCTTATTCATGGATGACAGCATAAATAGTCTGGCCTAGATTATCACATTTCTCCCTATAAAAAAGCTAGGTCAATATTTAATGTCTTTTCACCCTATCTGATATAATAATCCTGCTTCTCCCCCCATCTGGTGATATAGTTCCCATTCCTCTAGGCATATGGGGTGTGGGGGAGCTGGGGAAGAATTTTTGCTCTTCTCCTTCCCTGTTTGAGTATTCAGCTTTATACTAACTAGGATTATATTATTTATGTGTCAGTGTATTGAAATAATGCTTGATGAAACAGTGTTTCATTGTGTGAGAATTCCCCATAAGCAGCTTTAACTGTATAGTAAAGGTATATTTTATTACTTCACCAGTTCTCCTTACATAGAAACCTGTTAACACACTCTGATCAAACATTCATGAAATTACATCAAAAGAAATTAATTTTCATTTATTAAGGTTACTTTTTGCTGCCCTTGAAGAAGTTCATATGGATAAACAAGCTCACATAAATAGCTTGCAGCTTCACGTGAAGTATGGTTGCTAATCCTACAATAAAACACTAGACATCATACTTTGTACGTGCCCAAGCAGTCTTCTGAATAGACTTAAAGGTATTTGGAAAATTATATGAGGTAGTTACATTGTGTAGGCAACTGCTTTTTTCTGCCCCCTCCCCCCCCCCCCCCCGCTCTTCCCCCAAATGTGTTGGTCTGCTTGTGTTAATAATTAAATTTCAAAGCTTAGTTTTAAATTTGGCCCCCAGTACTGTACAGCAATTTAATAATTTTAATTTAGTATTTCAGGAAGGTCCTTTACTCTGCCCTGTATTTATCACAGCTTTTCTTAAAAGTCTATAAAGGCTGATGAGTTTGTTTTCTTATGCCTATTGTATAGCGATCACTACAAGTTGTGCTTGCAAATGAACACTCAGGTAATTCCATGTAATATTTTCAGAGTCAATTACTTCATGGAAATATTTTGAGCAATTGGAAAGTAACAGATAGTTTTCTCCATTATTTTAGATATATATGTATTGTTATAATACAGATCAAATCTACAATGAACATTATGCATTATTCAAGAAATGACCAGGCATTCTCAGCAGTGTTTCAGCTAAATAACTGATGATTGTAACCTTTAAAGAAATCTCATTGTGGTGACTATTGGTAAATCATTTCTCCATTCATAGTAATCTTTATTTAGAGGCTATCTAGAAATCATTATATCTTTTATTAATCTTAAAAGCAATAGCCAATGATTTGACATTTGCTAAAAATGGATAAATTTTCCATCTTCTAATACAGCAGATTTCAGTCAATTTTTTTTGGTACATTGTCTAAGGCTTTCTGTATGTAGGAAGTATTAGTCCTTGTAAACAAATATGCACACAACTTGCAGCAAATTTGTTTCAAGATTACAGTTCTTAAAGACCAGGACATGAATCTTATATGGCAGAAAAATAAGCAAAAAGTTATTTAGAGTCAGTAGTCAATTGTTATTCTTTGCATACTACATACAATATATTGTGAATAACAGTACTATTCTTCTCTGGTTCCATCCCTCCAAAAGTCTTTGTTTGACCCTGATATTTAAGGGTTATGTTCCAGGGAGAACACTAAATGAGCTGCTGATCAATTTTTTGCACTCCTAGTTGAGTTTTCTGAAAGTTCTGATCTGGGAATGGGAGCATTTTTATAGCGTATACTGTGTGTTCAGCCAGTAAGTGGTGCTTTACATGGCATGGCACTTGAAGTCCTCTTGTGCGTTCTGATTGCCTGACCCTTACCAGGGCCTTTCGTCCTTTTCCAACATCAGACTCCTGTGAGACCCTTCATATTCTGGAATATTGTCTTCAAATGATTGACTCCAAATTTCTTTATATTTTTAGCATAAACTGTTGCTGAAATTGTTCAAAGATCATGCAGCTTTTTATGTTCTTTTCTGCTGTGTTGTAGGTGTTTTTACCAAGCCATGTTTTCTTCCTTCTTTTCAAGTGAAGAGAGGAAGGGAAGAGGAGGAGTGTGAGGCACTGTGATGTTCTCTGGTGTGCTGAATGTCTTTGGCCCATGTAAAGTCATGCCATGTATTTCCTTTCTGGGCAATCTCTGGGATGCTGGTACTGACTCAGGACCACTGTCACTACAAAAAGGGGGGTCGTGACTCTTTGTCTTGAACAGAGTGTTTGCCATTTCTGGCTTTTTTGAAGCAGCAATTAAACCCAGCAGTCTGTGCCTAATTTTGCAAATCCTTATCCTGGAAATTTGCCATGATAACATCAAAACAGTTATTAGATTTTCATTCCTTTTTAGCTGAAGTGAGGTTTTCATTTCTGTCTTTAAAGATACAAGTGTTTGTGCAAGGCCGTGAGTTTAACATCCTGCTTAATGATGTGACATATGGAAACTAGAGTATGTAAAACAACTTTGGGTGTGTCTTTTCTTTGAATGAAAAATGTAATTGTGGGATTATCCACAATCTCAAGTTAGAAGTGGGTTTATCATGAGGTTTGGGTTTTTTGGGTTTTTTTGGTTTTTTAAGCCAAATCTTTACATTTTAGGTTACATAAATAAAATAATCTTACTTATCTTCTGTAAGAGAAGAGGTGAATGGCACATTCTAGCTGAGGAGTGAAAAGGACTTCAGTAAATAGTACTGACTGACTGGTAGATTGCGCGAGAATGTCACCTTTAGTTTAGCTGTCGTCTTTTAGCGTTATGTGTTCTGCAATTAGGTAGTTTTACACATCTGTGTTCTGGAATTAACATATATCAGTATGAAAAGAAATCAGATGCTGTCAAAAGTGTTTGTGGTGAACTGAAATTTTTCTTGTCCAAATTGTTCTAGTCCAATGTAACTATGACTCTGACATGTTACTTGCAATAAAGCATTCAATGTTACTTCAATTCTGCATTGGTAATGAAATAAAACAAAATGTTTTGATAATCACAAGAAGAAAAATTATACTTTAAATCAAAATTACTCCTGTTTCCTTCAAACTAGCATGTTTTTCAAAGGATCCATTCTTAACATAAGCAAAGTATGTAAGTATAGGTTGAACATGAACTTGATGTCTTATCATACTATGGAACTTGGGGTCGAGGAAATAAGTCCAGCAATTTGAATTCTCTGGGAAATAAAATAAGCAATAATGATAATTGTTATCCCAAATGTCAAGTGGCATTACTTTCATTAATTTAAGTACCTTTTTCTAATAATTTTTATGCTGGATATGTATGCATTTTTAAGAGACAAATAAATGGTTCTCTTCTGAA